CATATACTTGTGGCACATACCACTACACATGAATGGTATGTTCCTCCTGTATATGCTTTTTCTGAACCTACTTTTACAGCGCCTGTCACGATCAAAGTGCCTTATGAGATTGACCAGTACGTCAAGATGGCAAAAGAAGCTAGGCATAAGGAGGAGGAGATAGTGTATGAGCAATTACAAATCTTTAGAAAAAAATGAAGAACCTCCAAGTCACTCGGGGAAGTGAAATCCTGGACTACGAGGATCTGTGAATCCATCCGTATATGGATATGCTGGTAGGGCACAAGCCTCCAAAGTTTGATATCTTCCACATGAAGGGTGATCCCCACACACATTTGAGGGCGTATTGTGACAAGTTAGTTAAAGTAGGAAGAAATGAGAAGTTGAAGATGAAGTTGTTCATAAGAAGCCTGATAAGGGAAGCACTTACTTGGTATACTCGACAAGATCCGCGAAACTGGAGGACATGGGAGGAAATGGCGAAAGATTTGATGAATCACTTCTGATTCAACATAGAGATCACTCCCGGCAGGTTCCCACTGGTAAACCTGCAGAATAAGCCATCCGAGTCATTCCAAGAATATCCACGCTAATGGAGATCAGAGGCTGCTAGGGCACAATCTCCGTTGGATGATAGTAAATTGATTAATTATTTCACCAAGGCCTAGGAAGGGATTTACTTTGAGAAAATGATGGGCATGATGGGATAGAAATTCCTCGAACTGGTCAAAATAGGAGATTTCTTAGAAGAAGCTATAAAATCTGGCAAAGTGCAATCCATGGCTGCACTGCAAGCAGCTAGTAAGGCAATCCAATCAGGGTCAATCAGTAGCGGAAAGAAGAAAAAGGAAGTATCAGCAGTCGTCCCTTATTATCAACCCAGCCCACATCATGGAAACACTTCTTATTCCACAAACAACCATTCACCACCACTTGCCTATGCTCCAGTCTACAACACATAGCATATTACCACCCCCAACCTCAATATAACCCGCCTCTAACCCATAACAACCCGAACCCATAACGACCAAATGCTCATGTCCAAACCACCACTCATCAAAACTGACCCACCTATGCATTGCGCCCTCTCATAAATTTTGAATATAGGTGCCCTAGAAATTATACCTCAATTGCTAAACCTCTAGCTCAGCTGTTTGAAAGACTGAGGAGAGCAAGTTTGATACATCCAGTGGAAGGAATGAATCCCGCGTACCCCTCAAAGTATTTTGATGCAACCAACAGGTGTGTGTACCATTCAAACATGCTTGGGAATGATACTGAAGATTGTTTTAAGCTGAAAAATGAAATTGAAACATTGATCAAGAGTGGAGCCATTTAGTGCACTCCGGCTCCGCCCAATATAAATCGCAATCCGTTGCTGAATCATCGGAATCAGAGGGTTAACATGATCACCTTAGATGAAGAATACAATTTGAAAGGAACTATTATCATGATAGGAAATGCAGAGGCCACAAGGGTACCACCTCAAAGGGCTCCGATGATCACAACACAACTAAGACCTATGGTGATAGTTCAGACTTACCAGTGACAACCTGCCGTTGCTACCAGGGACGAAGAGGATCGGGAACTATCCCATGGACATATCAGCAAAAGGGAAAAGCCAAGATGACAGATTTCGTGGCAGCCCACGGTATGACTAGGTCAGGGAGATGCTGCGCTCCTGATGATGCAAACCGAGGGAATTTGGGTAAAGAGCAGATCCAGAGAATAAATATAAAAGACCCTGAGGCCGCAGAATTCTTGAAGAGGATGTCGACCAAAGAATACTCCATGGAGGCAGTGAGGCGCTGGCTGCAACTATTGGGAAAATGGTTGGATCAAATATTATCACTTTCCGAAGAGATAAGTCTCCTGTCGAAGGCGTGGGTCACAACAAAGATCTACACATCACTATCAAATGTGGAGACAATGTAGTGTCCCGAGTACTGGTTGATGGAGGATCATAAGTTAACATCTGTCCACTCTCTACTCTGTGAGAGTTGGGTATTCACCCGAGGGAAGCCAAGGAAAGTCATGTGAGGGTAAGGGCTTTTGATGGGTTGCAAAAGGATGTCATTGGAGAAATTTATTTCGCTTTGCAGATCGAACCAATTGAATTTCCCATAATATTTCAAGTGATGGATATTTCCTCTTCATACAACATACTGTTGGGAAGACCATGGATACACTTGGCATGGGTCGTCCCATCCACCCTACACCAGTGCATGAAATTCGAGTGGGGTTGTCAAGAGATCGTGATTCATGGTGAATGTGGCCAATCAGCTTATCTGGAACACGCAGTCCCGTTCATTGAAGGGTTAGATGAAGTTGCTTTCCATGCAGTAGAGATCATGAAGACCACCGAAATAGGAGAGACTGAGCAAAACTTGGGAATGCAATCATTGTATAGATCAAAGATGGCCATAAGGAAGATGATGAAATATGGATATAGGCCAGGAACTGGGTTGGGAGCCCGATTAGTCGAGATTACAGAACCAATTGAGCCAAATGGATAGAAAGTAAGAGCCGACATAGGGTATCAGCCTTTGATGGGGAATACGTGAACTAGTAGCTCTGTGAAAAAGGCTTCTGTGCCAGAGCATATTTCGGGTACGAGCCAGAGTCCAGCACTAGAAGACAATATCGTTGATGGGATGAGAAGACTGTTCATGACTATGATTGAAGAGTGCTGTGAAAGAATTGACATCAAGACACCGAGCATTCGGAATGCTGAACCAGGAGAGGAACTGCGAAATTGGACCGCCAGCCCGTCTTTGGTTCGCCGGGAGTCTTGGTAATGTAGAATTGTAAATTTTTTGAAAAATAACTCGCAGTGTCAATTGAGGCCTAAACCGTGTCTGTACGTTTTTGTCATTTGACTCTTTCAACGCTTAGACGTTCCTATTTTGATGAAATAAAAGAATCGGTTTCTTAAAAATATTGCAACTTTATTTACCGCTTCATTTATACTTACTTTTTCCTTTTAGTAATCAAAATGATAAAAACCCGCGTTCTGCAATTGTGACATATAACGAAACCCTTGAGCAAAAAGACCCAGATTACGAGGAATACGACGAGAGTATGATGCCAGACAATCTCCCACAAGATATCGAACAACTGTAAAGCCAGAAAAAGCCTAACCTTGAAGATACAGAAGTTGTCAATCTCGGAAGCCAGGAAGACATGAAAGAAACCTGAATCAACATCCATCTAGAAGCGGAGCAGGAGGAAGAACTGGTTGAGCTCCTCCGGCAATACATCAATGTGTTCGCATGGTCATATGATGACATCCCTGGATTAAGTACTCACATCATCTCGTATCGATTTCCTACTGATCCCGCTAGAACGCCAGTCAAGCAAAAACCTAGAAAATTCAAGCCCGACCTGAGTTTGAGGATAAAGGAAGAAGTAACTAAGCAGATAGAGGCGAATGTAGCAAGGGTCACCAATTATCCCAGTTGGTTAGAAAATCGTCCCAGTACCCAAGAAAGATGGGAAGATCAGGATGTGTGGATTACCGAGATCCCAACAAAGCCAGCCCGAAGGACGATTTCCCTTTGCCAAATATCCATATCCTCATCGACAATCGCGCGAAGCATGAATGGCAGTCATTCGTGGATTGTTTCGCTGGATACCACCAAATCGTGATGCACGAAGAAGATGCAAAAAAGACAACCTTCACTACACCCTAGGGAGTTTACTGCTATAGAGTCATGCCATTCAGCCTAAAATATGCTGGTGCCACTTACACGAGGGTCATGATGACACTTTGTCACGACATAATTCACAAGAAGATCGAGGTGTATGTGGATAATGTCATCATTAAATCTTAGAAAATTTCAGAACATTTAGATGACTTGAAGAAATTCTTTGAGCGCTTGCGGAGGTATAACATGAAGTTGAACCCGACAAAATGCGCGTTCGGAGTCTCCGCTGGAAAATTGTTAGGTTTCATCATAAGCAGAAAAAGGATAGAATTGGATCCATCAAAAATCAAAGCCATTTAGGAGTTATCAGCGCCCAAGATTAAGAAAGATGTGATGACTTTCCTGGGTAGACTGAATTACATCAGTCGTTTCATAGCCCAGTCTACAGTAATTTGTGAACCTATCTTCAAGCTGCTGAAAAAAGACGCTGCCACAAAGTAGACAGAAGAGTGTCAAAAGCCTTCAACTGAATTAAAGAATATTTGTCAAATCCACCAGTGCTGGTCCCTCCCCCCGAGCCTAGGAAGCCATTGTTACAATATCTGAGTCTTGGATAATGCCTTCGGATGTGTATGGGGACAACACGACAAAACCGGGAGAAAAGAGAAGGCTATCTACTACTTAAACAAGAATTTCACACCATGCTAGGCCAAATACACTTTGATAGAGCGTACTTGCTATGCTTTGACTTGGATCGCCCAGAAATTAAGGCATTACATGTCAGCATACACTACGCATTTAATATCTCGGCTAGACCCACTCAACTATATCTTTCAGAAGCCGATACCTACTGGAAAGCTAGCTATATTTCAAATTCTCCATAACGAATTCGACATTGTGTACATAACCCAAAAGGCTATCAAGGGGCAAGCTTTAACTGGCCACCTTGTAGAGAATCCAGTGGACAGGGATTATGAGCCGCTCACCATGTAATTTCCCGATGAGGAGGTATTTTTTACCGGAGAAGATATTGCAGAGTCGTACCCTGGATGGAGAATGTTTTTTGACCGAGCAACGAATTTCAAAGGAGTAGGAATTGGGGCAGTCTTAATTTCGGAATCCAGACAACACTATCCAGCATCAGCAAAGATAATATTTCCTTGTACCAATAATATGGCTGAATACGAAGCGTGCATCCTTAGGATCAGGATGACAATCGACACGAACATCAAAGAACTTTTGGTCATAGGGGATTTCGATCTATTAATACACCAAGTCCAAGGGGAGTGATCTACCAAAAACGTCAAGATCTTTTTGTACTTGCACTGTGTAAAAGAGTTATGCAAGAAGTTCATGAAGATTGAGTTCAAGCACGTTCCCAGGATCCGGAACGAGTTTGCCGATGCCCTTGCAACTCTATCATCCATGATTCAGCATCCAGACAAGAACTATATCGACCCTATTAAGGTAGAGATCAGGGATCAACATGCCTATTGCTTTCATGTAGATGAAGAGCCAGACGGTAAACCATGGTACCATGATATTAAGAGATTCCTTTAGATAAGAGAGTGCTCGGAGAATGCTACTTATAGTCAGAAGCGAGCACTAGGGAGGTTGGAGAATCACTTTTTCCTTAACGGTAAAGTCCTGTACAAGAGGACCCCAGACTTGGGTTTGTTAAGATATGTAGATGTTGCTGATGCAACCAGATTATTGGAAGAAATACATGCAGGAATGTGCGGACCCCACATGAACGGTTTCATATTAGCCAAGAAGATCTTGAGAGCTGGATATTTTTGGATGACCATGGAAAGTGATAGTATCCGCTATGTGCAGAAGCGTCACCAGTGCCAGATCCATTAAGATTTTATCTATGTTCTGCCCAGCGAGTTGAATGTGATGGGTTCGCCTTGGCCGTTCGCCGCTTGGGGCATGGATGTGATTAGACCTATAGAGCCTACTACATCAAACGAGCACCGTTTCATCTTGGTAGCCATCGACTACTTTACTAAATGGGTCGAGGCATCTACTTACAAGGACGCCACAAAGAAGGTAGTAGCAAATTTTGTCTGAAATAACATGGTCTGCCGATTTGGGATAACTGAGTCAATCATCACTGACAGTGCCACTAACCTCAATAGTGATCTCATGAGGGAAATCTGCGAGAAGTTTAGAATTGTCCACCGCAACTCCACAACCTACAGACCACAAATGAATGGGGCAGTTGAGGTAGCCAACAAGAATATAAATAGAATTCTGTGAAAGATATTGGACAATCACAGGCAATGGCACGAGAAGCTATCCTTCGACTTACTGGGTTATCAGACCACCATGAGAACATCCACTGGGGCAACGCCATACATGCTAGTATATGGCACCGAAGCTGTGATACCCGCAGAGGTCGACATACCATCCTTAAAAGTCATCCAAGAGGCTAAGTTAGACAATGTAGAATGGATACGGGTCAAATAGGAGCAACTCATGCTCATTGACGAAAAGAGAATGGATGCGGTATGCCATAGTCAACTGTATCAAAATAGGATGGCCACTTCATTTAATAAAAGGGTGAAGCCTCTCCAGTTTACACTGGGGCAATTGGTTTTGAAGAAAATCTTCCCCGTCAGGAAGAAGCCAAAGAAAAGTTTGCACCGAATTGGCAAGGTCCTTACGTGGTTCACCGAGTGTTGTCGGGTGGAGATCTAATCTTGGCAGAGATAGATGGAAGAGTCAACATGAAACATTTCAACTCAGACGCAATCAAGAGATACTATGTTTGAAGGTAATATAGTTTAGGTTTTACTGTAACAGAGCTACATTCAACCTGACTTCCCACAGAGGGATACGTAGGCAACCCAAGTAGGGTTAGGTTTCTCTCCCCTCTTTCTTTGTAATAGAAAGTCCAAATATCATTTTTTATGTTACTCTAGAACTATGCCACGACTTGATTTCCTCGGGAAGGAATACATAGGTAATCCTCATCGGATTCAATCATCTTTTGTAATTAAACTACGTTCTGGCCTGATTCCATTTGGATACGTAGGCAGTTTGAATCAGACTCGACCATTCCATTCTTCATCTAATCATTTTGCATTTATTATATTCGAACTCCACCTTGACCTGATTCTGTTTGGATATGTAAGCTGCCTGAGTCAGGTTCGGTCATATTTATCATATTTTCATCATCCACGAAGTACGTCTAGACCTAATTTTATTTTGGATACATAGGCAACTTGAAAGGATTTGGTCACAACCCTAGAAACCATTGTAATGCATTAGTTTGAATTAGAACGCAGTCGCAATGGCAAACAGTCGTGTCATGGAAGATCGACATCAACAAGGTAGAGTTTTCAAGAAGCAACGCTCGCGTTCAGAGAACCTTTCGAAGCATGTCATAAACCGGAGCAACGACATTTGCCCTAAAACAAAGATCTTTAAAAGAAAAAATATTTACTAAAAATATGATAATTTGGTCCACCTACTGAACTTCTGGCGTAACCATATCAAGGGCTGGCGCAGAACCAATACTGTGGTCGACATAAACCAACCCCCCTCCCGCTAAGAATTTTTCTTTGAGTGCAGGGCCAACAAGATGCAAGAAAATGTTGGGAATACACTAGGAAAAACGACGGATCCGCTACTCTCTCAGGTTTATGACCTCTCTTCCTTTATTTAAATTTTCTTGGTATAAGTGAAACTAATTCCTGAATCCTTTGCAGGTATCTTGGAATCAGACTGCTGATGCGAACAAGGCATATTGTACATAGCAAACTGTCTGCTCAACCAATCGGAACACCTTGTAAAAAATGAGTCATTGGCTTTGCCAATTTGATCCCTGTATATAGAAAATCGTCTGCTTAACCAATCGGAGCACCTTGTACAAAATAAGTCACCAGCTTCACCAATTCGAGCCCTGTATATAGCAAGTCGTCAGCTAAATTAATCAGAGCGTTCTGTACAAATCAAACGTCAATTTCTCCAATCGAAACCTTGTATATAGCAAACTGTTCACTCCGTCAACGGAACAATCCGCACCGCTGCTCCGTCACATTGGAGGCCATAATTGACAGTCACAAACCTTGTCACCGACGTTCTACCTATCGATGGCTGCAACTTAGCTTTGTAGTCAAGAGTATCTCTTGGATATACTTTTCTTCTCCTTTATTATTATCTTGAACGTTTTGACGTTTTTCTCGTGCAGCTTCAGGCATGATTACACTTCTACAAGTCAATCACTCCCAAGCGAAGATTACTTTACGTTTTAAGTAATCAGTAGAAACAAACTCATTAGCGGGCCAAGGATCCGAGCTCAAGTTTAAAACAATCAGTAGAACTCCAATTCTTCAAATCTTTTGAGACAAGCCGCAAATGCAAAGCTGTCATGAGTGCCAAATCTTCCATCTCGCAGTATCGTCATAGTACGATACTGGGGCAATTCCCGTGAGCATTACTTCCTTAAAGTCTTCACTCCAGAACTACATAAGGCCTGATCCTCGTTAAGCTCTAGGTATATAAGCAATTCGAAGTCAGAATTCGGCCCAAATTCCCCAAAATTCTCTTAGAATCTTCCTAATCCCACAACTCATAAACCTCGTGCCATTTCTGCAATTCATGCCTAAAGTTGGGACAAAATTGGCCTTAGTTCAATTTCTTTTTCCGAAAACTCTTTCATCATTTTCGGTCAAAGAGGGGCAACTGTTGATGACCAATTTGACCCTCCCTTTTAAAATTAATTAATTTATACATAATAAATTACAATGAATGTTTTGAAAGTATTTTCTATCAACAATACCTATTTTCACAAATTAACTGTGTATTATTAGTTTCAAAATTAATAATTTTAGTATTGTAATTAATTTCAATACTATTAAGATAATGTTTATATACATAACATAGGCTTTATAGTTAATTCAATGAATTACTCTTTAATTGCTAATTAATTAGGTTACTGTGTTAATAATTCAAAATTAGTGTTATGATTTAGTAAATAAATTTTTTTATAAATAATTAATTAGAATAATTTGTAGTATATTTGATATTTATAATTTTACTATATTTTATTAGAAATAATTAAGTTTATTTAATTTAATTTTAAAATGGGTTAAAAGGCTAAATGACTATAATTGCAACTCTTTAATTAAACATAGGTTGGCTATCTTTTAAATTAATTTCAGCCCAATGTGCAAGCCCATGTCCGAAAATACCCAGTCCAATACCCTTCCCCCCTTCTCCACTTTGGCAATCCTTTCCATCACCATTAGACCAATCAACACCTATCATGACACCGGTCTCCCACACTCACAAAACAAACACGATAGAATCTGGGGCATCTATTTCTTAAATCAGCGACCCACAATTTTACTCTATTTTCTCTTAAATTTTTAAAACACACAGAGATATAATATTGACCATTGGATTACAAGGATCCAATGGCCACCATAATTCCCCACAAAACTAATTTAATCCCTAAATATCAGGACCGTTGATCTAAAAGATCAACGGCCCAGATTCATTCTCGCAACCTTATCCAGAGACGGACAACCCCCAAATCCCTAACCCTAACCATTCGTTCCTTTGACTCTGCCACCCCTTTCCCCTTCCTCTCTCATTTCCTCTCAAATCCCAGACCAAAATCAGTCACAAACCTTGCACCAAATCGTGCAAGGATATGAATCTTGACCCAGATTCGTCCTCTTTGCTCCCCTGTCCGCGAATCCTGCCAGAAACTTCCCATTCCATCATGCATTTTCTGAATCTTGAGTTCTTTGAACTCGAACACAAATATGAAACTTCAAGTCGTCCAAGCTTTTAATGTTACGACCAAATCTCTCAAGCGTGGCACATCTCATGCTGATTATTCTAAAATAAGAGGTCACATGCAATGACCTCTGGACGGGTCTTTACCCGATTCACTCTGATTCACTCTAATTTACTCTGATTATTCTAAGAGTCTCACTCATTCCTCTCTCAGATTCACTCTGATTTACCCACTTTGCTATCATCATCTATCTTCCATCATCTTTTACTATTGATTTTTGAATTTGGAATCCTAGGGACTATAAATTGGGGTTTTGAATGCCCTCACCTAACACACAACAATATACACCTACCAACTACACCTAGTATATGAGAATTTAATAGTTGTTCAAGAGAATTTCGATTAAAGTTCAAGTCTAGGTCAATTTTTGCTTTTCTTTTCTCTTCGATTATGAGTGTTACTGATTAGGAGCTTTGAGTGCTTGGCTTCCTAAAGGCTAATTTGAACTCTCGTTTGGTTTGCTGCTCCAAAAGAGGTTAGTAAAACCTCAACCTTGTTTTTCTTTCACTAGTTTAAATTCCCGAATATGAATTGCTTTACTATTTTTTGTTGAATAGCTTATTAACAATTTGTTCATGTCTTTTAGCCATTTTTATGTGATTGTTGATGATTGTTAGGTAGATTTTGCAACCATGAACTTATTTAAGTTATTGAATGCTGATGTTGATACGCATATGATGATTTGTGTCTACTGTTAACTTTGAAACGACCTAAGACTTCGTAATGTTATTAATAGCTAGTTTCAGACCTCTCTGATGCTCTATTATTTTTGTTATGGATTTTATGCTAATCTATCTTGAATATCACTTGCATTTCATGACGATTCATTTAATAACTTAAAACTCAAATAGAGTGTGATCCTATTTAGTGTTAAGAATCAGACTGTCACCATAGCATTAAGGCCTTAGCTTATGACTTTTAAACATGTTTACCTCTTTAATATGGCTCTGCGATTCTGTTATTTACTTGATTAAACTCATGGTTGTTTATGCAAACATGTCCTAAGCTAGTTGAATTTTTGTATCACTTATATATATGTTCTGGGATT